TGATGCTCAGAACTTTGCTCAGCTGGCCTGGTCTTTAGGAAAATTTCTGCAGGTATGCAAACGAACCAGATGGCTCCACGGGCTCAGAATAGGCTCCGGCTGTCTTGTTGTTCGCATTCGAATGAAATGATTCTCTCTTGCACTGGAGGATTCAGACCGCAGATCCCAGTTTGCAGGTGCAGGGCGCGATTTTGCTGACTCAGCCTGGTTTCCAGACAGCGTGAGTATCCTCATCTCAATTCAGGACCATGAAAGGCTGGGAGTTTCTCTGAGGTAAGACAGAGCCAAAGGAAAGATCAGTATGGCCTGCAGGGAGAATTCCTCATCTACATACACAAGGGTACAAGGCATATGTGTAAGTCCTGTCTTGCCCCTGGAAGCGGAGGAGTGTTTGGGCACCTACATTGTGTTGGGTGTTGTGTCAGGAGTGGTGTGTGGTTGGGGGGGGGTGTCCGGGTCTCACTTGCAGTTAGCATGTGAGAACTAAATCATTGTAACAGACTTCCCAGAATCAGCATCTCCACCCCTCTAGCATAAGGCAGTGCTCTGGGGATGACAGCACTGTGTGGGGAGAGGTACGCCGTGTGTAGGTACTGGCAGTCTCACAGCTGGAAAACAATCCAGCCTCCACTAACTAGATTTTGTGGGTGGTATCTGTGCCCTCTCACAGAAGGAGCCAAGCCCCCGGATATTAGTGAGCACCTGCCTGGCAGGTAACTTGCTGCTCTCTGCAGATAATGCTGAGAATTATTGTTTAATTGCAGGTTTGTGACCTTCGGTAAATACATGACAAAGTAAATGGAGCATCCCATACATGATAGCACCACCACTAGTAAGTGGGTCGGACTCCTATCTCATTGTTGACATGGTATAATTCTATTGTGACTAATGGAGTTAGTCCAGATTTCCACCAGAGTCTGGGCCAAGGAGTGCATTGACCTCAATGGAAGTACAATTGCAAAATAAAGACACTTTGAATGAAGGGCAATTCAAATTCTGGTATTACAAAAATCACGCTTTGACCAAAGTTCATCAAAATATGAGCTCTTTCCTCTTGAGTGGAAAGAAGGAAGAATCCCAGAGCCGATGAACTGTTTCACATGAACTGTGTGGAATGATACAGCTAAGGAACCTCAAGGAATATTCCACAGAGCTCCTCCTAAGGAGAATGTTTAGCATTTATATAGCATTCTGCTTTAACAAACAATAATTAGTGATCATAATGCTCTCATTTTTACACAGGGGAAACTGAGTCAGAAAGGTTGCCAAGAACATACCAAGAACATACAGCTGAAGTCATTGGGAGCTGTGGGTGCTCAGAACCTCTGAAAATCAGGCCCTAAGTATCTTACCTAAAACCACATCATGTAGATCCAGAATTAGCATTTGAGGCTTCCTGGCTCCCTGCTGCCGCCTAGAATTTTACATGACCTGGTGAGTTAGTTCTGTGTAACACACTGCAAAAGAGTGTCTGTGACACTTTCCAGAACCCAGGGCATGTGCTGACTGACCCTCCTCACAGCATTCCATGAGCTGAGGTTTTCCTTTACACCTATGTCCACATGCCGTACCCAACGGCCTGGCCTAATCTCTTGTCACACATAGTTTTGCACAGCTGTTATATGCTACCTCAGAGGTGGCTGCTCTAAGTATCAAACGGACAGGGATTTTAAAGTCCAATTTAACTTTTGCTCTTTAGACTGTTTACTTGTGCCATTTCTTTCATTTTGGTCAATGACACTTAATGAGATCAGTTACATTTTTGTAACAGTAACTTTCAGGTTCTTAATGCTGCAATAATTGGGTTGCAGATTCTTCTGGCAAATATTTAGTTGTTTAAGAACAGTTGTTTCCATGGGCTTTTTTGTTGTTGTTGTTGTTTTTTATTTTTTAATCATTAAAACATTTCTATGAGACCTAAGTTTTTAAAGTGGTCCCCCTCTTCTTTTCAAATACTGGGCCAAATTTGACACTTTTCCTTTAAATACAACTTATATGATTGTCAGAAAACTGTGGATGATTAGTTGTTTGGCTAATACAGGGCTTTGAGATACAAATTGCCAAGCTCTGCTAATTATTGTGATCACTTACAACTTCTGATTTTAAAAAAGCAAAAAACTAATAATTTGTTCAGTTGGCAGCAAAGGGGTTAAAAATATGCTGCTAATTCCAAGCAGCGAGGAGCTGGCCTTTCAAAGAGGGATGCTGGCTTCTTTCGTCCACATTCTTCTCAGCTGGCATCCAGCATCTGCAATGTAACTGATGGGACCAGCAAATCAGGCACCATTCACGCTAACATAAAGAAACTCCACCACTAAGAAAGGGCATGTGTGTGTTTGTGGAGGGCCGTGATTTTAACTTTTATGTAATGTAGCTTTTTACCATTGCTGAAAAGCTCTTTAAACAACAGGCCCTCTCCTTCCCTCCCCCGGCCCCCACGGCTCCCTGCCATTGGCTCGCTCTCATCTGGTATTCTCTGCTTTTGTTCTGTTTCAGTGGAATTGGCCAAATGACATTATGCAGTAGCCAAAACAGACACGGAAAACAGAATCCAGTGTTCTCTTTGGCACATGCCCACTCTGCAGTGCCTGAGGCTCCCAGGTACAAACACATTCTGTGTTCTGCCGTCTTCAGCAGCATGATAACACCCCTTTGGCCAAGTCTGGAGGAGGTAGGGGGGGAATGTGTGGTGTAGGGTAGGTAGTGTGTGGAGAAGTGGGGGAATGTGGGGGGGAAAAACAACCCACCAAACAGAGGCAGGGTTTTTGTCTTCAGAAGCTGCAGACGCAGGCATCATTCAGTGCTGTGCTGCTCGGCATACGTGACGCGCTGTGACATACCTGGCTCGGCACACTAATAATACTTTTTTTTTTAAATTGTAAAAATAAAATGTGGTCCCGCTAGGATGAGCCTTGTTATGCCCAAAGTTGTGCTGGGAGGGTGGCAGCATGTGGAAAATGTAACAACAGGGACACGAGCAAACACCACTAGCAGTAAGTTATTTTATGACTTATCTCACTACACTGGAAAGAAGCCACACTTCAGATCAGACCCTTTGAAGTCCATTGAGGTTTATCCATGGAAGTCTGGTGATGGGAGAGGTGGATTTTGTAACCATGGCTTTTTATCTCTGAGCTGCTGGGGGCTAGGAAGACACTTCTCCTTTGGGTACGCTAGTCCATAATTATAATTCTTCAGGGTAGGGAGGTTATACCTTCCTCTGAAGCATCTGCTACTGGCCACTGCTGGAGTCTGGATTCTAGGCTAAATAAACCATTATGGCCATCGCAACATATTGGCGTAAGCCAAGTCTCACAAGTAGTAGGTGAAACCACATGTCTCAGTCAAAATCACAGCTGAAGTTTTCCCGTGGGACTGACTGACCTGGGGACTGAGTCCCAACCAGAGCCTTGCGGTCCTTCAATTCTCCAAAAATCCAGATTCAGCTCAGCGATTTACTGACTGCGTGTCCTTGAGAAATGAGTTTCAACCTAGCGGGTGGATGTCCACATCACAACAAAACACAAAGCCGTTTTGTACTAACTGGCCTCCTAACTGGTAGTTTCAACAGAGAAGCCAAAGACCGTGTGGCAATTCTCTTGTTTATGGTGTCTGTCCCAGGTCGTAAAAAAAATTCTGCTAATTTAAAGAGCTGTCTACTTCTTTAGATAATTCTTATGGTGTACACACATGCACTATGGGAGAGTAATGCATATAGATTACTAAATCATGAAGACATCTTGATTATACATGGGTATATTTCTTGTCTTACACTGAAAACGTATGTCATTTTACTTACTTCAACACCTGTTCTTTGCTTCTTCCCACCCGCTTGTCTGTATTTTCCACTGTTCTTGACTTCCTCTCTTTTTACTCATATTTGTGCATGATTTAGTTTTTCACATTTGCTGAATACTATCTCTCTTTTTGCATTGTACATACCGTTCATGGGGGTATGTCTACACTGACAAAAAAAAAAAAAGTGTGTTCTTGC